AGATGTTTGTGAATACATGTCGAAGCTAGTGGGAGCATAAGTGTTATGTTTTATAGTAATCATCATGATAGTGGGAGCATAAAAGTTATGATTGTATGATTATTATGGAAAGTATTGCAAGTTGGCAATATTAATTATAGAAAAACAAGAGTTATACCTTGCAAAGTCGTAAGGGTTGTAAAGTTGTTTTGCTATAATGAAGGGAGAGAATATTATGCTTCATTTCAAATCTAAAGGCTTAGGTTGAGAAATGTTAATAAACTTAGCCAAAGGTACATAGGGTGTTCTTAAAATTTCGATTATGATTACGGCATTCCTCTTCACAATTCGAATTTTGAGAACATAGCAAATAAAACATTGTGCATCGTGTCCCATACGCTTCGAGTATAGGATCGATTGCAAATGCTTTAATGTTTGACCATTCTTAAATTTTCCAAATGTCTAGCGCATTTAGAGGGAAAAGTGACTAGAATCGGTTTTGACTAAAATAATTAAACAACTATCAAAGAACAATCCAAAGTTCGACGAGGATTGGTTGCTTGTGAGTAGTTGGAAGCATGGTATTGGATGGACCATATTGACATTATTATGAATAGATAAGATTCTATTAAGAATAAATTGTCATATGGAAAATATGGAAGCGTGTCCATATTGGGAAGTAAATATTGAAAATCTATGACTAGATTAGAAACTTTTATGCAAAAGGATGTTCAAAGGAATGTACTTTGAGTGAGAGACATCATATCTAAGGAATTGTCTTGTAACAATCTTCGATATAAGATTTTGTAACATCATTAGCAATAGTCTTTGTGACTTTGTTGCAGTGACATTACAAAAGGATCGTTACATAAAGTGTTAGAATCTAGCATATTCTATAAGTAGCAAGAATTTGATATTCTTACACTTATGAAAAACAGATTTGGAGTTGTAAAATGAGAATGATTGGAAATGTATCCAATGTGATCTATTTCACAAAGTAAGAACCATAGGTAAACATTGTGTGCATGCTAGGAGCATGGGACAAGTGTAATAATTCAAGTAATAAGTTGATTACCCGAATCGACAAATAATGAGTAATCGATATGGTGATAAATAAAAGGAGTTTTATTTATACTCAAAGGGTTGAGGCCATATGGGATTAGTATTATTCTTGTGTTTCACTTTGCATGTTTTGACTTCCAGAATAATTGAGTTTATTAAGAATAATCGAATTATTCAAACGGGCCACAGTCGTTCATATGTTGGAAGTAGGTATGAATGAAGACTGTCGTGAATTGGTGTGTGGATTGTCTAAAAGAGTATTATACATAAGCAAATGTTTGCTGCAACATTCATGAGTGCTTATGAATATGATTTGAGCATTGGATTAAACCCACGCTCACTTGGATCACTCCATGAATTGTATCACGAGTGATTGGTGAGACGATAACATCTTATATTCTTGAAACTGAGATGTGTGAGTTGTATCTTGCTAATCGGTTGCACATTGATAATATGTAAACGTACTAGTAACTTGGTGTTATAAAACGTATTGTTGTATGTGATTTGGTTAGTGAGTGCAAGCAAGCATTGTATCAAAGTTTATCCGTTCCTTTTATTCAAAGCATGTACAATAGAGAAACCTAGATCCAAGTATTAGGGTTTGTATGAGCACATAGGATGTCTTATGACCAAAACCCATCACGTTCTCCCTCCAGGAGACTCTGATTATAACTACCAGGAATTATATTCCGCACTCGGACGTACGGAAAGAGATTGTCTCACAATTTAGGTTAACAAGTTTACGTGTAATGTGTGTGAGTGTAAAACTTTTCTATATGAATGTACTCTTTTTGTACGAGTGTGTTATGTGATGTATCATAAACTATACCTGTTATAGTTTATCTAAAACATTTGTAGTATGTAAGAATTCTTTTATGAAAATGCATTAGTGTTATGAATCCATCAAACTATGCTTTTTATAGCTTAATATATGTGTTCTAAATGAATGAATAATCTTATCATGAATGACTTAGTTTAAGTTTATGATGATAAACTAACAAGGAAACACATTCAATAATTAGAACTTATGATTATACGTTTTGCTCAACATAATACAAAGTGTTATGAAATTTATATGTTGTTAACTAACTTTAACCTTTCTGCACTGTTTTAGAAAAGTCATAGAAAAATCATACAAAGTCGAAAACTAGATCCGTAAATTCCGAGAGTTCCCAAAATGTGTCTAGTTTACTCATAATTTTTATTGTGATTTTTAATGACCTCCAACTTGGGTGAAAAAATCCATAATCGCAGACTGGTCCGGTTTGGTGTTTGAAATGATATGCAGTTTTGTAAAAATCACCATAAATTGTAGAAAAATCGTATGGAGATGTGGAAGTAGTCATTTTAAAGCTAAGAACTTGAACTACTTGCACCTTGTACAGTTTTGAAAACAAAAATGTTTGAGTTGCCCAAAACAGTCCGTGAATGGAGTTGAACTTTTCTGATGAAGGCTGTTAGAAAAGTTTAGTTATGTTCTTGGTGTTTTAACTTGTATCCCCCCGCCCCCCTTAAAACTTGAGAAAACATTAAAATGTAGGGGTATGAACTCACCTTGAGTGGTTTTAGTGGATGAATGTTGGATTAGGGAAGTGTTCAACTCAAGAACACTTGAAGATGCCTTGAAGATTTTCGAGAATCAAGAGTGTGAGAAAGCTTGATAATCAGCCTTGAATCTCGAATTTGATAGAGAAAGTTTGAGAGAAAAGTGGAGTTGGATCCTTGGTGAAATGAGAGCAAATGAGAGAAGTGAGGAGAGAGGATGGATGTTCAATCTCTTAGAACGTGGGAAATGGTGATAATTGAGTGGAAAGGACATTGATGTGACCTAGGTAAGGTGGGGAGGTGTGGTTGGTCATAGAGTGGGTGTGGGAGTGGTTGTTTGTGTCATAAGGTAAAACAAAGTCAACACTCTACCTCTTTGTACTTTACCCGCTAGCTTTTATTATTTAAATAAAGATTTTCATGAAAATATGATTAAATTGTGAATATTTAGGGTTCATTATGTTAAAATATGATTTTGGGTGAAAATCCCGTGTTAAAATAATTAAAAACGGACCTTAAACGCAAAACTAGACGAAAACCGGGAGAAAAGGAGTTTCCAGCGAGACCTCTCGGTCCTAGGCCGAGATTCGGTCCCTTCTGATGCAGAGCCGGAAGCGAAATGGGGCGAACCAGAAGTGAGAGGCGAAGGCGAAGGGCTCAGTCCGAAGTCATCGAAGCGAAATAGACCGAAGGTGGTCAGACCCGAAATGAACAGTACTTTCGGGTTCGGGTGGTGCGCGAGGTTCGGCCCTGAGAGGACCTTCGGGTTCGGTTCTTCCTGGGTGAGGTTCGGGTTCAGCAGATGCTCGGTCCTCTTGGTTTCGGTTCTTAGCAAGTTCGGTCCCTATAGGGACCTTCGATTCTAAGAGGCTTCGGCCCTAATAAGAGGGTTTCGGGTCCTTAAGCCTATTTTACTCGTTTTTACCCCGTTTTAAGCCGTTTTTTACCCAGTTAAGGGTCGAAATGACCCGAATGACTTCAAAAAGTTATGGAAACTTTTGAGAGAGATTTGGGAGAGGTTTCACATACTTGGAGAGATTTGGGAGAGATTCTTGATAAGAAGAGATAGAGTGAAAACGATTGAGAGAGGTTTCATGTGTGGCATTTGTGAGTGTCCGGCTTCGCAATGCAAGGTCCGTAAATCCTGTTAAGCCTTGTTTAAGGATCTTACACACTCCCGATGAGTATGCGACATTGATTTATCGGTTTGGCTCGCCACATACCACAGTTTTAGGTTAAGGAGATCTAGATATTCACACTTTTTGATTTATGATCTCTCATTAGAATAGAGAGTTGTGTAGAAATTACATAATGTAAATTCTAGTACCCACGGGCAAATTGAGTCAAACGGTTTGACTTGTTGACTTTAGTTGACTTTGACTTGACCGAAAATTGATGGTTGTCACAATTGGTGGTGTGCTAATCAACTGAAGAGAAAAGAAGATTGGTGGTGGGTTAATCGTCTCGCTTCAGGTTTGATCTACTTTTGTTTATCGTTTCCGGTGATACAGAGATACACATAGGAAAATGTTGACTATTGATTTTCCAGATTCGCATCGAGTTTTCCGATGAGTCGATGTAATCTATTGTGAGTATATATGAATGAATTTGATGTTTCTAACAAAATCGTGTGGAGTTTGATATGGATATAAGATGAACTTATTTGTTTATTTGAATGTGTGTGTTTTGGTTATGTTATGCTAATCCATTCAATTAAGAACTAATATAAATTGAGATGGTAATGGCATAAGGCTATCTGGAGTGAAACCAATTTCACGTGTAAAAATCCTAGGTGGCACCCCAAGAGACGTGTGAACACCGCCCCCAGGGTCGGTGGGTTGGGTGTGGCGTGAGTGGGAGGACGGAGGACGGAGGAAGACGCTGCATCTTATTGGTGGTGAATCTGCCCCTCACAATTTCCCTCTTTCCCTTTCTTTCTTTTTGCCCCTTTCACCACCAACCCATCGGTGAACACCATTTCAATACTCTGGTGGGTTGGGTGTAGAATGGTGAAATATCTATGTGGCATCCCAAACAACGTGTGACCATTCTGCATGGCCTAATGAGCAAAGATGAAGGCAACAATGGATGTGGCTTGTGATGTCGGTGGCGGATGTTGTATACGAAGGTGACAAGTGATGATTAATACAATTAATGACAATCTTTAAGTTAAACCTAGTCAATTGTCTCTGATGTGCTAATCAAACATCTAAATCAGTAAAATGTTACCTACGTGGCAACAAAACCTGTTATAATTGGTTTAAGAGATTTTTTAGCAGGTAAAATTCAATTTTATGCCTCTGGAATGTCAAAAAAAAAAAAAAAAAATAATAATAATAATAGTAAATAAATAATATAAGTGGCATTTTAAAACAAATGGACTTTCTTGTTTTTTATTTATTTTTAAAATAGTGGAAAAAAAATCCAAAAGAACTGTTATCGATCGAGGCATGAATGTGCAAAGATGGCAGGGAAAACATTTGAAAGCATTTTCCTGCTTGAAAAATATCGAATTCCTTTATCGCTTCAGGAACATGGGATTCAGACCCTTGGGTGTAAATCTCCTCAAAAAATTTCACAATTCATCGGCACGATCCATTCCTCCATCATTTGCCCACAAGAAAGCGGTGTACCCTTTGATTCCTCGGTTGTACGATCGATCTTCCCCCTACCCTGAAAATCATAGCTTAAAGATCTCTAAGAGGTGGCATGTCGGTCATTCTCATCACCACCACGAGCAAACCAGTCAAGAAGGCGAGAGGATTTTCAGGCTCGGACTACTCTCCGATATCGGGTTAACTGCCGGCAAAGTATTGACGGGTTATTTGTCCGGTAGCACCGCCATCATCGCCGATGCTGCTCATTCTCTCTCCGATGTGGTAATATTTAAATTCAGTAATTATCATTGCTTACTATGTTCTGACTTTCATGTCCACATAATAACTGCAATGGGCAAAATCGATTTCAATTTTGTTGCAGCAAGTAGAGGATACACCAAACATGATTCGCTTCTGGCACTTGCTATAATAGATCTTGAATTTGAAATTTGAAACTAATTTTGCTATGAGTTTATTTATTTAGGTTGTGTTATGTGGCATCGAATTGTTGTTAATGAGAGTAAAAGCAAGTAATGGTTTTGATGTGATGCAGGTGCTTAGTGGTGTTGCTTTGGTATCATTTAGAGCTTCAAGGGTTCCCAAGGACAAAGAACACCCATATGGTCACTTTTGATTTGTACCGACTCTCTTCTCCTTTGATATGTAGATAAAATTAATTTGTGTTGCCTGATTGATTAACAAATAGTATTTCATGATGATATGTGTTTGAGATTCTTTAGTCGGATTAAGGATTTGAATAACAACATTAACATCTGTTTCACATTTGTTTAATTTATGTTTGTTATAATTTGCAAAGTAATTTGATTTTCAGGGCATGGTAAGTTTGAGACTTTAGGCGCACTTGGAATTTCTGGCGTGCTTTTGGTAACAGCTGGGGGTATTGCATGGCATGCTTTGGATGTTTTAGTGGTATTTCTTCTTTCTATGACAGATGCATCATTAATCATATATATATATATATATATATATATATATATATATATATATATATATATATATATATATATATATATATATATATATATATATACCTGCTTAAGAAGAGTCATGAAATATCATATTGCAGGGGGTACTGTACTCAGCAGCTTCTGATCAACATGTAGGTGGGGGGCATGGGCATGGGCATGGCCATGATCATGGGATTGACATGAATCATCCTGTGCTGGCTTTGAATACTACTATTGTTGCAATTGCTGTTAAGGAAGGGTACTGTACTCGTACTCTAGTTCTAATAGATCAGATAGATCCCTTGAGAGATGTTATCAGTTTATGGATGCAATGCACAGGTTATATTGGATAACAAAGAGGGCAGGAGAGAGGTCTGGCAGTGGATTGATGAAAGCAAATGCATGGCATCATCGTGCAGATGCTGTTTCATCACTTGTTGCTCTTATAGGGGTTGGTAAGAAACATTAAGCACTTTGATTTGACATATGAAAATGGGTATTTATCCATTCATTCATGATTCAGGTGGGTCTATTCTTGGGGTGAGGTTTCTTGATCCCCTTGCTGGGCTTGTTGTCTCTGGCATGATCCTAAAGGCTGGACTACAAACTGGTTACGAGAGGTAATATTTATACTCAAGACTAGAAAGTAGAAACTTGCTATTTATAAGAATTGAATCCCTTTGTCCAGTATTTTGGAGCTGGTGGATGCTGCAATACCATCTCATCATTTGGACCCAATCAGAAAGACAGTGTTACAAGTCAAAGGAGTGGAGGCAAGCTGATCTCATCTTGACCTGTTTGCTGTGTAACTTTGGTCTGATATATATATATATATATATATATATATATATATATATATATATATATATATATATATGTAACATATTACACAGGGATGCAGACACATTAGGGGAAGGAGAGCTGGTTCATATCTGTATCTTGATGTAAAGATCCAGGTGACTTACCTGCCTCATAATCAATTTCATTTTTTAGATACAGAGGGGGGAGGGATTCTTTGTTTGATTGCATTGTTGAATTGCAGGTTGATCCCTTGTGTAGTGTGAGAACAGCACATGAAATTGGTGAAACTGTTCGTTACCAGATTCAGAGTTGCCATCCTCATGTCTCTGAAGTCTTCATACACTTGGGTATTATGTTACTTTTGATTATTGCATAATTTATAACTAAACTAGGATTCTTTATTTTATTAACTTGATGTTTGACTTTGCAGAGCCTAACAATACTACTACTACTCATGTCCAGCAACAAGAAGAAAATAGTAGGATTGAAGAAATGATTACTAATACGCTCACTTCCAACTTCTCTCAGGTATATATTTGTTGAGCCTTTTATATATATATATATATATATATATATATATATATATATATATATATATATATATATATATATATATATATATATATATATATATGAAAGCAATGTTTCTAATTCGATAATGGGTTCCAGAAAAATACATATCCAAGTCTCAGGATGAGTTTGTGTTTAGAAACTTGATCAAATAATGAAGTTTTTCAAGCTTTCTTAAGAGCATTAAATTATAAGCCCTATTTTTGAGAAATTATATGACTATATGCTTTATTTGTGAAAAACCAAAAAAAAAAAAACTCTTGTCGAGTGCTTGTAAGTTGTAACTTTAATTTGTGAAAAAGTTTAGATGAAAAGGCTAAAACTTTGCACCAAGCCATATGCTTAAATGGTATTTGGGATTTCATTTCGTTTTGTTGTGTTGATGAAAAAAATCATTAAGTGGATAAGTTTTTTTTTTTTTTTTTAAATACATGTAGAATGTGATAAACTATAACTTGGGTTTTTCGTTTGTGCTTAACAAACATCATCGATGTAAGTGTTTAGTGACAACCATCATTGATGTAAGTGTTTAATGGTATGTTCTTATGTCTCAGAAAATGGTTGTGAAGCATGTAAGAAAACAGAAATTGGAAGGCAAGATTTTGGTCCAAATCGAGGTTTCCATGCCACAAGATAAGACTATTAGGTAAGATTTTTATTTTAATCAATTGCATAATAATAATGGTAATTATTAATTACTAATTAATACTAGTTTTGCTGACTGATTACAACAGTGATGCAATCAAAGTGGCAGAAGAAGCCAAGCGCCATATCTTGCAGTTGCAGGACACCTCCGACTCTAACCCTACTAACCCTATCCCTATCCCTACGCAGGTTCAGGTTACCTTCATCCTGCAACTTGCCTAATGTTACTGACTTGATAAATTCCTAGACACAACAGAATTACAAAAACTGTTTGACTAAAATATGTACTTCTGTTGTAAATTTTTTTATACAGGCAAAACCAGTTAATTCACCAACTTTTTTTTACAAAATATGTACTTCTGTTGCATTTATACTGATGCCATAATAAATTTGGATTTGTTTAGACGAAGTTATTATTGTAACATGATTATTGATATCTTAAGTTAAAGGGGGTTGTGGTAGTTGTTTTGACAATGGTAAAAATATTTAACATGGTTTTTTTTATCACACTTAACTTCAGCATTGAGATTTGCCACCTGCAAAAAAATATGCTGGTGTGGTGTTTTCAGTCTTAACATCACTGTCTCAAGATGATTATCAACACGGAAAAATAAAAAGTGGATCAGATTTCTGGCTTGGATTCTTCTAAAAATTTAGAAGAATATTTAAATAGCGCACAGTATAATCAGCTTCGATCATCTGGGGAAATAATCATCATTTCCACCTTTTTATTCAACATAATAATCCACAATTCTAATTAACAAAAACACAAGTCAGGATTAACTTGGTTAGTGCTTACGAATAAAACCATCAAATATTTGTTGTCCACAAGTACTTCATAAGGTACAAACTAAATGCACAAGTTGGAAAATAGATGGATCAGATTTCTGGCTTGGATTCTCCGAAAAGGAGAATGTTTAAATAGCGCACATTATAATCAGATTCGATCATCTGGGGAAATAATCATCACTTCCATCACTTCCCTTTTTAAGCATAAACCTAATATATCAACTCTGGGAAAATTACTTTTGTCTTTAAATACAAATCCAAATACCAGAAGACGTTAAATAAATTATTAATAATACAAACCAATAAACTTCAGAACTCTTAGAAACATAAGTTTAAACCATTGATCAGATAATTGTAGTCTGGAAGTATTTTTAGATCGACATTATGTTTTCCGACAACTTGCTCATCACCTCAATGACAAAAATTAAAACCAATTGTATATATTAAATAAGAAAAAAAAAAAACACAAATAAGATAATAAATAGTAGATGATGCTCAGAAGGATCCATTGGTTGTTTCTAATCACAAGGAGAAAATCAAGTTTCCCCTCATAAAATAGGTAGTTATAAGCATCACTGCATCTCCACTTCTTTCTCTCCTTCGAGAGATTAATTAACTAAAACCAAAAACGAGACGAAGCGAAGCGAAGCGAAAGCATGTTACAAAAGAGCTACCTGGGCATCTGGTCGGCGATGCCGATGGGGATATAGAATGAATCGAATCGGTTGTGTGTATGTATTTATAGTGTAGTAGTTTCTGTAGATCTGCGGCGGCTGTAATGTGTATACGCTAGGGCACAAAAGAAAAACCCAAGTTATAGTTTATCACCTTCAAATATTAATGGTTGCTTTATACGCCCCTTTCATTTTTATGGTTACGTACGTTTTAGTCCCATCAATATTTTCTATTTCAAAATCTATTTAAAACCATAACACATTTTTCTTTGACGATGTGATCTATCTATATCTATATTTATATATACTTATAAAGGATTTTTATTTTTCATCATATTTATTTGAAACTCTCATGTATTTTTTCTTTCACCACATTTATTTGAAACTTTAATGGCTTTTCAATTTTTTCTAATAATAATTATAAGTTTGTTAATAAGATTAAATACATATCAAACCTAAAATGTAATCGTATACAAACTAAATTTCAATATTAAAATAATATTTTTATTTGTATTTATAAAGTTACATTTTTTAACTTTTAACATATTATACTTAATTTATTAGTTTTAATATATTGTTGGATGTAAACCATTATCATTTTAAATAAATAATTTTGGAACAATATATATAAAATACTTATGTTAATAATTTAAATATAACATTACATGGTAAACTTAAATATGAATTTTGGTTTAACTTAAACAACCCAAAAAAATATTTTATAAATAGTTAAAAGTGATAAATTGTAGTGTTTTTCTAATAATAATTATAAGTTGGTTAATAATGTTAAATAAATATCAAACCTAAAGTGTAATCATAAATAAAATAAATTTCAATTTCAACATAATATTTTTACTTCTACTTATAAAGTTATGTATTTAGCTTTTAACATATTATACTTAATTTATTATATTTAAAATATTGTTGTATGTAACCATAATCAGTTTAAAGATACAACTTTTGAACAGTTTGGATAAAATACTTAAATTATTAATTTAAATATAACATTGCAGTATCAACTTAAATATAAATTTCAGTTCCACTTAAAAAACAAAGAATATTTTGTAAATAGTTAAAAGTGATAAATTGTAATGATAAATGCAAAAACTAAATTGTAATTTAAATTTAACTAAAATATTTTCTAAAGATATTTTTATAATCGATAAAAAAAATTCAAATAAGTGGCTTAAAATAGCTTACAATACCAATAGTTAAAAATAACTCTATATAAATGATTATATTGTTATCTTTAAAATCAAAAAACAATGTTTGATATTTTAAATAATTATAATGATAGAAATTAAAACATTAAGCACATAATTTTTTTAAAATTAATTAGCAATAACAACAACTATAAATAACATTAAACCATATATCATATTTAATTTTATTCACGTGTAACTCGCAGGTAGAAGTCATTTAAACAATTGAGATTATGTAGTTATAATAAATGTATATATTATCATATAATTCAAAATAATCAATATATTATATCAATTTGGTATACGAATTATTATATTAAATTTAACAACAACGTTATTGTTCTATTAAAAAAACATATATTTGTAAAGACTTCAACTATATAGGTATTTCTGCACAACGCGAGGGCATTCGCCTAGTATCTTATAAAGCAAGAATTTTTCTTGAACCTTATTCATTTGAAACTCCAAAAACTATTCAACTTATACAATTTAATTTGAATTTTAAAATTCCCTTCAAACAAGTATACTTAGCCTATAAATACTTACTTTTGTAGAACACATATCCTAAACCAAAAGAAAATCATTTTTTTTGTCTAATTACTGATCACATGTTTTCTATTTTGGTGTAAATCCAAGTCACATATTGTGAATGTAATGTTAAAGCTCAATAGTCTATAATAAGCAATGTACGCGTATTTATCTAATTTATTACTTGATTTTGAAAATGGACAGAGCCTAATTGTTTAATGTATGTTTACCAAAAAAAAAAAAAATTGGTTTGTTCACTTATTGTTTTTTTATTGATGAATAAAGTAGTTGTTAGGTTTGAGGACTTGCTAGCATCTATTTTAAAAATTGACACATGTAATATTTTATTGAGCATACAGGTATGAACAAATCTTTTTGAAAGGTAAGGATATACACCATCCATTTCTTATAAGTTTTTATTATTGGAGGTAAAATTGAATTGGTGAATGGACCAATCAAGGGTGAGGATTTAACTTCAAGTTTTACGATTCCAACTCTACTTAAAATGTTATATGTATAATTTTTTGAAATGATTTATAAACACTCTCAGATTGAACAAATATTTAAGTTGAAGATTACCTCACATTTGAACAATATGCATGTTTTTGTGTTGAAGTTCATGTTGAAATGTAGAAATTCACTTTAACGAGTAGATGAGTTTACCGCCTTTTGAGAAATTTGGTAGTTTTTTGTGTTATATATTTTGTAAGATGTTTTAATGAAATATACGAATGTGTTGATGTTTTTAAAGATGATGCCCAAAACTTAACCCTTTACCATCGTTAGTTTTTGTTGGTTTGTTGTATAAGTTGTATCTCTTGGTTTTTAATTCTATTGTTTTTTATTTCTATTCGCACGGTTTATATTCTTGAAATGATCAATGCAACAATTTTCTTAAGTCAACACTAATATAGTAACGAATCAAACATATTAGTAGTTATAAAACAATGTTTGAGCTTTTATTAAAAGACACATGCTCTAACAACCTACTTGCACAACTTAAACCTACAAAAAAATTCTTAATAATTAATAATAGAAATGATAATAAATTTTGAAACTATAAAACAAACACCTAACAACAAATACCAATATTGTTAAAATATATATCTTTTTAGTTATTCACTAACCTTGGATTTTATTTTATAATAAATGTCTTCTTAATGCATATTATTCATTTAAAAGTTACACAAACTTTTGAACTTTGGCGTAATTAACCACACATACTCATTTTTCTAACTTAATTAAATCATTCACTTTCACTTTATTACTTTGATCTTTTTAATACATTAGAATCATTTATTAGTCTAAATTGAAACAAACTCTTCAATATTCAAGCTAATATATACATATAATTTATTGGTGTTGGTGATTTTAGTGTCACTATATCATTTTAAGTAACTGGAACTAACATGTGAACTAAGGGGCTTCATAATTTGTACTCTAATATATGTACGGTGTTGTGAGGAATGCACGCATGTATAAGATTGAATTAGAAGCCGGTTCGACGACTAGTCAGGGGTCCGGGGGCAGCGCCCCTTTGGCAGGGTTTAGGGGCAGCGCCCCTGGCTAGGATCCCGCTGAATTTTACATATGAGAACATAGTGGAAAATTCAACTTCTTGAGGGTGATTATGGTAAAACTAACGAAACTCGTTAGTTTTGGTAACCCTAAATCCTCATTAAATCCGGATTAACATTACTTGCTTTCAAAGCAACTAATGACGGCCTAACCCTAATCTCGTTTAATATATTTTACCATGCTGTTCTGAGGGCCTAGGGGTAGTCTAGATTGTAAAGCTGTGGACCCAGTGCATGTTGTTCTGTTTTGATTGGTATGATATGCTAATGTTGATATTGATATGTGAACTGTATGTGTATCGGTATTTTGGGGTAACTCAGTAAGCTTTCGGGCTTACAGTTTCAGTTTATCGTTTCAGGTACATCAGGGGATCGCGGCAAGGCCAAGGTGTGATCGTACAACTCCTCCTATTATGTTATTTTTGGGGACAAGACTTTGATAAACAATGTTTTGAAAACAAAGTTGTAATATTTTGATGAACTTGATATGTTTTTTAAAAGTTTAAATTTGTTTGAAATTTTGGATGTTACAGATAGATGATTTGTGAGATAGTTATATATGATATATATATATATATATATATATATATATATATATATATGTATATATATATATATATATATATATATATATATATATATATATATATGCCAATATATGTTATTTATGTACACATGGTTATTTGTTTGATGGTTGGGTTGAGACAGTCCTGCTATGTGCTGAAGGGCAACACACCCGATGAGTGGTTCGGATAGACTGTGGGCCTGCATGACGGTCCAGTCATACCGAAGGCTCAGGATAGATCCAGATATACTGTAGGACTTGCAAGGCGGTCCAGTTAGGCTGAAGGTCAAGTATACATGTTGTTGTTAACTATTATATATATATATATATATATATATATATATATATATATATATATATGGTATTATCAGTGTGGTATTGGTATTTTGGGGGTAACTCACTAAGCTCTCGGGCTTACAGTTTCAATTTATTGTTTCAGGTACATCAAGAGATCGTGGCAAGGCAAAGACGTGATCGTACCACTCCTCATCCTTATGATTTTGTTTCTGGGACACTCTGATGAATAATATTTTGAAAACAATTTGTATAACACTATTTGGTTTTTAATGGATAAAAAAGTTAAAAATTTGGTTTAAGTTTTTAGATTTTTCATTAGCTGTTTCATTGTTGGCTGCAGCTCTGATATTGTCATATTTATACATATTTTAGACAATATTTATTTACATTTTTATTGATTTTTTGATTATTTGCATAGAATAACGGTACTTATGAGTTTAAATTGTTATTTTGCATCCAAATAGAAGCATCTTCAAAGATAAGGACTGAAATTGACAGACTATGGAACTTTGGAGGATTGAAGAAAAGAAGAACGGAAAATCACCCAAAAGATGTACTCACGATGTGAATAAGTCATGGTTCACGACGTGAGTGGAGAGTTCTAGAAGATATGCATGCAGGCGGAAGAGTCTTTGCCGAACACGTTTATCCCATATTCACGACGTGAATCCTCGTGAACTCGGGAAATTAGAAAACTATAAATTCCCTTGTCCATTACGACTTGAGGAATTTTTGGCTGATTGAAGGGTTTCCATAAGACGATTTTTAGCAGAGGAGAAGTTCTGAAAAAAGGTTTTCAACACCAAAGGAGTAGAGCTTCATAATTTAGTTTACTTATTTGATACTTATGAACATGTTTGCCTATTTAGTTTGTGTTTGTTTGTTAGTTGCTATTATGAGCAACTAAATCTAGCTACTCTTGTTTAGCTAGATGAAGCTTCTAACTTATGAATAGCTTAATTTTACATGGATTTGTTTAGTTGGTAAATTGCTTGTGTTTGATTTATTGTTACCTAGCATGCTTATGTTTGTTTCTTTAGTTGTTTAGATTCATGTTCTGCGTAGCTTAGTGACCATCAACTGCATGAACTTGTTTACCTAATGATTCAGTGAACATTAAATTGTTAGAGCTAGGATTGACCAATCTTAGTTAGTAATTAAAGTAAATAAATTTAGTTGTGCTAGAGAACGTAGATTATGACTATAATTGCATTTGCATAATAAATCTTACATAGCATATTCATAATCATAATTGGTTATGTGTTTAATTGTGTGTGACCATACATAATTTTACATGAATTAATTAATTATTGGTAAAGTTAGACTTAAATTACTAATATAATAATAACCAACTTGATAATCCATAATTATTAGCTAGCCATAAGGAGGAAGTGGATTCGAACTAAACAAGAGTGTTTTTACTTATTGATTGAATTTTAGTTAAGTTCGCCTGATTTTGTAAAATCAGATAAAACCCTTTTTAAACTTGTTAATAATTAGGTTAATTTGATAGCAAGTAGATTAATTAGTAACACCGTTCCATGTGACCGATACCTAACTTTCCCAAGCTATACTATAATCTGACTAGGTACACTGCCTATAGGTTTATAGTTAGTCTAAGTTTGTTAGGTTATAGAGATTAAAATTAGTGGGTACTTTTGTGCACATCAAGTTCCTCTGTTGTTTTTAGCAGGCACCAACGTCCTATCGGGATTGTTCTTGGTATCTGGCTCGGAGCATTCACGAGCAAAATGACATGGATCGTGATAGTTGTAGCACCGAAGCTTGCTCTTGTTGAACCTCACCTTTTTCTCCACGTTCATTCCCCAGTTGTTATACCCTGTGCGTTGAGTAAACTTTGTTGCCCTGAACATCACCATAGATATTTGCCACATGATATCCATCTCTTCCACGTCCTCATGATGAATCTGATCCAGTTCTCCAACCATGATTAGAGGAGCTAAATCTCCTGCCAAGAGAGCATTGTAGCAATTCATGAACCCAACCAATAAAGTCGTGTTCTCTTTATCTTCTTTTGGAATTGATGAAGTATGAGCTGCAAACGTGGTGTTAGAACTTGAACCAGAAGAACTTGAAGGGGCTAATTGAACCTTCTAGCTCCTTCTTCTTCTTCAAGCTTCAAAAACACACAAATATTACTCAAGAATGGCTCACACGCTCAAAAAAAGCTCTAGGGTTTCATGGATTATGGTTTGGGACATGGAGGCTGGAAATAAGGCCATAAGGTGGGGATTAAGATGCTTAAATAGGGTGCAAAACCCTAAAATTAGGGTTTTACTATGGCAGATCTACTCGCTGATTTGACGGCTCTTAACTCGTAAAGTAGTTTGCTTAAACCTCATGTCCAATCTCGTTTCTATTGGACGAGTATGGGGCTCCCAACTCGTCAGTAGCTCTACAAAAATAAATAATTTATAATTAAATGCGTACCAAAAATCAGGCGTTACAAAAGATGAGAGGAATGATGAGAGATGAAAGATGATATAGATGATGAGAGGTGAAAATGACGAGAAGCCTTGACCAAGCAATGGTACAATCATCTAACAGAGTATAGATGGTAACCACAAACTATTTTAGACAGTCCGATGGAACACTAGCAGACTCACAACCTGTAGGTGTTATGAACGATGTGTTCACTACAGTCACTACTCCAAAAACCCATTGACATGTATTATGGGTGGACTCCCTAAAACAATATTGTCAATAAAAGAGATAAACCTTGACAACTATGGATTTAGTGCCTCAGAAACGAACATTGACAGCTATGAACTTAGTTCCTTACAAATAAATGTGGCAATTATTGATTTAGTGCCCTGTAGATTAACATCGACAACTATGGACTTAGTTTATGTTATATAAACCCTGGCAACAATGGACTTCGTGCCTATTCCTTAGGACAATCCTTAGGAATAAATATTAAGGATTAGAGAAGATATTTAAGAATTGAGAAGATAATAGGATGGGTAACTGGGTTAATTGTTTGATGATTAAACATAATAACATTATTATTGTGGGTTTAAAACCCTATGTACTCACCAGGTTTCATAACCTAACCCACTCAGTTTATTTGTATCACTTGTATCGATACAAAACTATATTATACTGAGAGATTAAAGGAGATGTAAATCACTAGTGTAAATGAATGTAAGGTCTGTTTATGCTTATGTTTCTGTATTGACGATGACATCCCAAAGTTTTAATATAAACAAAACACATTTCTTCGGAAATGCTTTGATAATATTATTATCATGTTTTATGGGAACAAATTCCGCAATATTATTCTTTAAATGAATATTCTGATTTTCAAATAAGTATAAATAAATTTTTTAAAATGACCATGAATTTGAGGATGTCACATCACATCATTTTCTCAAAGAGTTTTTTTGTTCCTCAGAACATTAGAACTTCCGCATATCCCCTCTTTTAAAAGCATAACAAATAAACTGTTTTTTAATCTATTTTTCCATTAATCAATAGAACATGATTAGGCAGAGTTATTGTCTTACAAATTATTTTTTATTTAAATGTTTTAAAAGATAGCTAAAACTTAAATTCTACTTTGTCATCTTATTTGCTAATTTAAATATTATATTTATTAAAGTATTTATTTATCACTTTGTAACAATGTTTTTCTAGCTTCTTGTTAGTTTGATAAAATTCTGCTGTTAAAGAAAAGATTAATCTAAACAACCAATATGAAAAAAATATTAGGTGAAATAAACAAAATATTCTATCATTTTTCCGCAAAACTTAATACTACCTCTATGATTATGAATCCATAATTATTACAAGGTTAGTTTGACTCTTCGAGTGTTTGAGTCTGGCGGGTCCCATTATCCCAATTAGATTTTTTTAGCCCATGAGGTCCATTATGATTGTGAGTCCCAAACTACTTGATCGTATCAAAAAAGAACTTTTGAAAATTAATGGGCTTTTATCTCTTGGTTTATTATTCCCAAATGGGTTTTTCATGGGCTGAAGACTCACCATGAATAAGTTCTTGCTGAAAAGGATTCATTACTTGGCTTGTTGCTTCGAACCCGTTGAATCTTTGTTCTTGTTCCTGAGTATTTAGTGATCTTGCTCCTCCGATCCCTAAGAAATCAACCGTTAACATGTCATTGCCGCCTAACTTTGACGCCATACTCAGTTTCCCTCTCCCTTGAATCAAGGTTGAGTTTTCATCACTTCTATCTTCATGATTTTCCATGTTCTTTGTAGTATCATGATCTTGATGACCTCCCATCAACAATTCACTGTAAATTCCCAAATCATTCATATTTGGATTAGGGCCAGACCCGAATGAATCTTGTGGGTTGGGCTTTTGCAAGGGATTATAGCCTTCACTTCCGTCATTGATTCCAATAATACTTGTATGATTAGGTTGGATGTGAAAACTATCATAACCCCCTGTTTGTTGAATTCCATAAGGTGATACAGGCTTTGACCTAAGTGAATTGAGTTGATCCGGGCCTGTCATGCTCGTAACAAAACTCTTTTGCATCATTGGAGAATTAACGCCATTGCTTGCAGTAGCACCCATTTGGGCCGCTTTTTGAAGCAACGCTGTAGCAGACATATGGCCTGCGAGACCAGGAAGTAGTCCCCCAACCTTACTATCTTGTTGGAAGTATCCGTAGCCCAACGATCCATTTGTCGAGCTAAGTTGTAACCCTGAAGACGATGAGGACCCACCTCTTGGGTTTCCAAAAAGGGTACCGGAACTACTCGAATACATGTCTGCTGACATGTTTAAAGGCTTGAATGGCACTGGAACCAAGTCTTGACGAGGCAATGATTTAATCGAGGCTTTTGGTTCATAATTGTTAAAATCGGGTAAACCCATTAACATGTTCCCAGAGTCGATTGAATTTGATGACATTATATGATCATGCATATGTTGAGGTTGTAACATCCCTTGGTTCACCTTGTTGTTTTCTTCGGCTAATGCATCACAAAATGCTCTATGAGTTATAAAGCTATCTCTCCTGCACATTAAAAAAAAAAAAAAGCATAAATTCATGACCCATAAGCTTTCATATTAAAAGATAAAACCACTAGTTTGGAAACCAAACCTTGAGAATATGGTACCACAATCACACTTATATTCTCGAGTGCCGCATGTCTTTTGATGAGCTTTCCAATCAGATTGAACCGCATATTTCTTGGAACACTTGTCACATTTCCATTTTTTCTCTCCATGTTTCCTGCTATAATGCTTTTTTATCCCTGTGAGGTCGCCTAGTGCTCGAGCTGGATTGTGATGAACACAAGATGGCTCTGGGCATACATACACTCGCTTCCTAGTCTCTGTGCTAGTTCTTTGTCTTAGTTTCCATGGAAGATTATGGCCTCGTCGGTGCAATTGTAGGTTTTGGTCTCTCTGAAACCCTTTGTTGCAGATTTCACACACAAATCTGTTGGTTGCCATGAGTGTCGTTGGTGATAAAGCAATAACTTCTGCTGTAGGATCTGTGTTACAAAATAAAAAAATAAATTAAGTATTAGAATTATTCTAATTATATTAATTAATTATGAAGATCATAATAAATGTGCACAATCCTATGTATATGTATTTAAGAAAGGTGATGATCATAACAATTTATCTTTTATTTAGTTGTACGGTACAACCATCATCTAAAGCACAAATTGTTATCTATAACTAAAAAATATTATACACAAATCATTCTCTAAGAATGGGTCTTTTAAGTTATATTTAATCGTGAGAAATTTAAAAATTACATGTCTGTAAATGTGATTCGTGTTTTAAAAAATTAAAAAAACTTTCAATATCTATATCTATACCATACTATATTATTAAATATATTATCATATCTTGAATTTTAAAAGGTATAAGTTAGAAATTTTTTTGTACAAATCATACATAAATAAATAAATCATTAATACTTGATAAAAATATGAAGACATAAATAATAAAGATTATTAATAAATTCAATTCAACTTGTAGCAAAATAAAAATATTGAAGTCATGTATATGAATTAATTAACATATAGACAATATAAATATAAGGTCTAAAAATAGATATTTTACTTAAAATTAATAATTTTTTATTACTTAATAACTAATAATATATTTTAATAATTATTTCCCCGTAAAAAAAACTATTAACCATAAGAGCTATTTGATGTCGTTATTTTACGCGGGCTCACATCTAGTATCTATTGAGTCATTTTATATTTTTTCGTGATGTTATTAGTATCCGTCGACGATTGTTCCTGTATGTTAATTTTTTTTAAAAGTGAATATTATTTAATATTAATTATGTTGCTATAAATATTTATTTCTTATTCTTATTTATTATTAAATTGGTATTTTGAAGATTTAATGCATGGCATGTCCATTAGCCGATTTATTTGGATGGTTAATTATGAAGCGAATAAGTCCATAAGATATATAGCATAACTAGTGTTTAAAATACTTTTATTCAACAATGGCAATTGAAAAGACAAGATGTTAGCTTATTTTATTTCATTTTATTTTTTAATTTCAGATATATTCTTTTATTATCTATCTAAAAAAAAATATATATTAATCTAAAAAAAATCAAATATAATTGTATAATAATCACTTTCATTATAAGCTGATTAAAATATATATATATATATATATATATATATATATATATATATATATATATATATATATATATATATATATATATATAATAACAAGTGTAAACAACATACCAACTTTAACAAACTAGAATGGTATAGTATATATATTTTTATTTCAACCTATACATTTTGAGTTTACCGAAATATAAGGCTATAGTGTGTAGCAGATTTTTTACCAATGAAAAAGGTATGCCATATAGATACCATGTAAGCATTGTATTTCTTAACAATTTTTGCCTATGATAATGGTGTATTAATTTTTTTACCTATGAAATTAAAAAAAAAAAAAAAAATTAAGTTTACAAGTGACCAATCAAGAGCCACAATGTAATCAAAAGTCCAATTTACCACGGGTGGAAGAACACCGACGGCATCATACCGCGGGTAAAAAAAGAAGTGGGGGCGGTGTTACTGCCGAAAAAAAAGGCCGAATTAAATTACCGGCGGTAACATCTTTACGACACCTTTCAGTCTAAGATACAAAAACAAGTTTCACATTATTAATTATTAATCACTTTAACTTACTTCGGCAATGAATTGTATATGAATTCGTAAAGACACTAAAAGGATTTGTGTTCTAATTAACACCATATATCAATTTGTACACTAATTATTATATATATATATATATATATATATATATATATATATATATATATATATATATATATATATATATATATATATATATATATATATATATATATATATATATAAAACCTGGAGTTCCTGGTAGGTTTCTTTTCTTTTTAGGAGGAGGTGGGAGTGAAGTGGTTGCATTGCTAGAATTTCCGCCATGGAAATGGTTCTTCAAGTTTTGAACTTGCTTTCCTTGAGCTTCTTCTGCTGACGAAAAACTCCCTTCATCTCCTGTAATATTCGACATAATTTTTTTTGTTGCCAAAAATTCCACCAAAATTTGGTGTAATTTATTGCTTGTTCTTTTTTATATGGAGCAAGAGAAAAGCTATCTAGAACCTTCAAAACCAGAAGATGAATTCTGGTTTGAATTATTGAAGGAGAAGAAGGAGGTTTGCATGTATTATGTGTCATTGTTTGGCTTATATATATATTTATATACATATATAAGTGTTCATACGACACCACCCTCCTTCAAACCCCACCACTACCCTTAACCCTAAACTTTTAGTAATATACTAATATTATAATCATTTATATAATTGTCTTTAAATGATGACCTGATTAAATCTTAACTTCTACAATGTTTATTTTTGCAAAATTCAGGAGAAAATCCATTTTCAGTTTTTTAAAGAGTCAAATACAAAAAATGACATATCGTTCACGATAAAAAAAAAAAACTATCATATTCTAAAATATCCTGTAAAAGTTTATACTATTTAAAAAGAATTATCATAAACTTCACGATAAAAACTAACATTTGGTAACTTATAAAAAACGAATCAATTATTTACAATCGTGTGTCAACTGGAAAAGCTCTTTAATTTTGTTGTTACTCTCCCTTTTGTACCTATTCTAAATTTCATCATGAATTAAAGATAATTTACTGTATTGCTTATTTTCTAAGCAACAGAAATAAAATACACATCTCAAAATGTAGATTAAACTTCTTGGTTTTGGATTCATGTAAGTTTTCCACACCAATAAAGTTCGTTAATTGGTATGCGTTAGAGCTAGATGTACAATACCGGTTTTATAACGGTTCCAGTTTATTTATTTATTTAATTTTTTTTAAAGAATGGTTTTAGTTATAATCGGTTTGGTTTTTTTGAAGTGAAATTGTGTTAAAAAACCATTTTTATAGCTCGGTTTCGGTTATAATCTGCTCAATTTTTTTCGATAGATTTAAAAAAATTGGTTTGAAATGTGCACCTCCAGTTAGACCCTTAGAGGTCTACTTAGTTTTGTGGTTGAAATCTTAGGTTTTAGAGTGTGTGACTCTTTTAACAACTACATGTTGGTGATTTTAGGGTCGTTAAACATTTTGTGTAATTGAAATTATTATGTGAGCTAACTATTTATGATTTGTACTCTATATTATATGTTCGGTGTGTGCGGAGTGTACACATATTTAATATCGAATTATAAGTTAATACAACAAAATTACGGGGGTTAAGAGGGCAGAGCCCCTGGCTATGGCCTTGCTGACCGACTGATGAGCGGGATCTAGGGGCAACGCTCCAAAAGATCATCAAAATTTTGAATTAGTATCGTAGTAGAAAATCCAAATTTTAGTGGGTGATTATTGGTAAAACGGACAAATCTCGCAAGTTTTGGAAACCACTGATTATGCCATTAATTTTGTGATTTACTTAACTAATTTAGAAGACAGAAACTCTAATTATCAAGTATAAAATATGACTCTTCTTTTGAGTCGGATCACAACCTTCTCAACTCTTCTTCTTCTCTAATGAACTCAGAATTCTTTAGCAATTTAACTTACGTTCTCGTGCTCAGATTCGTAAGTGTCCATTTGGATTATTCTATACTGGATTTCTTATAACTCGGGCATATGGTTACGATATTACACAATCCATTGGGAATCCATATCTCCACCACAACCCTTCTAAAACACTAACATTCGAACTGATATAACGGACATGGCATAATCAATCCGCAAGTTGACCACAAAGTTCAACAAAATGAAATTTTTTGAAGGCAATGATTTCATGTGTTGGCAAAAGAATATGCACTTCATGCTGACCACACTAAAATATGCATATGTGTTGAGTACTCCATGACTTGAGGTGGTTGAAAATGAGAAATTTGGAAGAGACCAGAAAGAGATCCGAGTGGGTCAACGATGACTACATATGTAAAGGTCATATTTTGAATGGTGTGTCTGATTCTTTATTCGATACCCATAGTGATGCTAAAAGTGCAAGGAATTGCGGGACACCCTTGAATTAAAGTACTCGTTGGGGGTCCTTCTAGCAAGAAGTTTCTAGTTAGCGACTTCAATAATTATAAAACAGTTGATTCAAGGTCTATCATTGAAGAATAAATGAACTCCTTCGCATTTGGGTCAATTCAAATTGCACAAAATGAATATGGACAAGTCCATTTCCTTGTCAAGTGCGATTAACAAACTTATAATGGGTTTTATAGGTTACACAAATCTTATTTTGGCGGAAAAATTAAACCCTAAGTTCACATGCAACCTAACGGATCTATATTCTCATTATGATTTGCGACTAACAATTGAATATCAAAAACCCTAGAAGTACATTTCTATTTTTGAAATTGACAAATGGTTAATAGAAAAATACATACCTTTTGTTTATAATATAGCAAATAAAAAAAATCCTTCTTGATTGGTCTTCAGAAAGCAAGAACCAGAAGTCTTGTGCCTCTAATGGCTCACACCCAAACCATATAAAGTTGGAGACTAAATAGGAGAGAGGATGAGAAGGAGTATTTTCGGATTTAAGGCTCTAGCAAGCATAATTCTGAAAATCCAAACCCTTGGAGGGTTTATATAGGTATTAGGCTGGTAGCGGATAAGGCATGCTCCTTTTAGATAACCCTAATCCTCTTGCTTCCTTCCTATGGCATCAAAGCTTCTTTAGAGCCCAAGAAAAGATCTAGAAAACCTCTAGAAACCGTCCCCCTTATGGGAGGTCATAGAATTGGTTAATGTTCAACTTTTGAACATTGTCACCTTTAGTCCTTCTACTTTTAATTAATCCAATTAATTACAAATTAATTTTTAATTAAACACTAGTATTTCTAATTAAAATATTATTCTCATAATATATTAATAAATCATTTATTTTGATTTATAGTTTTATTAATCATATAACAAATTAATAAATCAGACTCTCTCTCCAAAAAGCATTCCAGTCAATTACTAGGTTTGAGGGCAACCCAAAAGAACTTTCCTAATAATTAAAGATTATACCAATTTAGTTATTGGCTTAGACACATAATCCAACATTATCCCACTTAGATAAGTCTAAAACTAAATTACAGGTATAACTTTTAAATTAAACAGCAAATGGTGATTTCCAATGCAACCATCGAACTCTAATCTGATTGGATATTTGTCCTTTGATAAGTGATCAAATATTCCTTCGTTCTACAAGATATCATATGGATATAAGATATGGATTATAACTAATCTCATTGTCTAAATTTATGTTTCTTAATTTCCTAAATTGAAATGATGTTATAAGACTTCTAACTGAACACATCAATTTACTCCTGGTTATGCCTAACACTAGAAGTCAACATCAAATCTCCGAGGGGACCAAAGATATCACTTTTCCCGTCAGGGCAAAAGGAACGAATAAACTTCGACTCATATGCTTGTGTCTTTTACTCACCAAATCGCACATGACACTAAGTTTTATAACATCAAGTTACTGATGCATTTTCGCAATACCAATGTACAACCAACTTGTAAATTACAACTCATATATCTCCATTTTAAGAATATAAGATATCATCATCTCATAATTACTCGTGATATAATCCATAAGGGAATTCTCTAAGCGTGAGTTTTTCCAATACTCAAAATCTCCATTTTCTAAGTACTCATGAATATTATAGTAACCATTGCAATGTCCAATCTCCATAAACAATCTACAATTCAATTCATGATAGTCTTAATTCTTCTACTTACTTCCAGAAGTATGAACGACTGTGGAATTTCGAATAATCAAATTATCTAGGAAGCAAAACACGCAAAGTGAAACACAATAATAAACTAATTACATATAGTCTCATAACTATTGAATATAAATAATACTCTTATTATTTAATCAGGGTCAGGACTCCGAGGATTTCTCCTAAGAGAATCTACTTCGAGATTGTAGAGAGAGTGAATGAGAATGGTGTGCAGAAATGGTATGCCCAACCTCTCTATTTATAGTCATGGATTTGGGGTGCCACCCTTTTAAGGTGACACCTTCAGAAGCACCAAATCCACCACCTGGAACTTAATGTTTGATCGTCTTTGGTCAATATAACTATTCTATCGACTCTATGTTATCTGAAATCTCTATCTGATCTGTTGGATAAGCTTTGTAGTCCGAAGAATTACCTCGTTCCTACTCATAACTCTATGACTGACCTCTCCCCATCAAATTGATGTGCGACACTTCCTCCTATATAGAAGCTCAAAAGCAGTGCACCGGTACTAGAATGGTAGCTATTGTAGTAGGAAAACTCAGCTTGGGGAAGGTAGGAATCCCAAATCCCACCAAAATCAATAACAAAAGCCCTCAACAGATCCTCGAGCGTCTGAATGGTCCGCTCACTCTATCCATCAGTTTGAGGGCGATAAGTAGTGCTGAAATGCAGTCTCGTTCCTAAATCCTCATGAAAATTCTACCAAAACCGAGAAGTAAAGTGCACATCACGATCATATAAAATAGACCCTGGCACCTGTGGCGAGCAACGATCATGCACATATAGACATCGGCCAAATTTTCGACCGAAGAACTCTATCGAATAGCCATAAAGTGGGCACTCTTGGTCAGACAATCCATACTGACCTATATCGCATAAAATCCTTTAGTTTATGTAAGTAACTTGGTGAGATAGTCCATGGTGATCTGCTCCCATTTCCACATGGGAAGCTCCAAAAGTTGTAACTTGCCGTGTGGCCTTTAGTCCTCAGCTTTGACCATCAGACAGGTCAAGTACCTCTCCACATACCATGTTGTAGCATCCCAAAACACGAGGGTAAAATTTTCATTTTTAAAACAATCAAAACACTCATTTATCATTTAACCAAATACTTACAGATATTTTATAATAAATACAGTTATCATAGTACAATCCTAAAATCTTAAAGTTGTGGAAAATATAGGTGTATGCATTGCGATCAAGCCGGACCCTTCCTTTTCAAAATCAGGAGTACTTGAAACCATAAACAACAACTTTAAGCACAAATCTTAGTGAGTTCCCACGATTAACACATACCATACACAACATACGAGTCATACATATCAAACATGCAATAGGAGGTGCTATGTGCTAACCATAGTCTTGCTATTATGCCACGAGCCGTATCTGGTCTTTCCTTGTCAAATCGGGGACCAAAACCATGGGTCT